CCCTTTTTTTTTTTTTTGCACAGTCAAATTGTTTTCCTGGCCTCACCAGTCAAACGTTACAGGAGAAAATTAATTCAGTTGGCAACTTGTGACACGAATACTCCCTTGAAATGATAACTGCATGTGTGATCAACATAATTAGAAGTTATCTTAACAATTATAACATAAGTTTCCCCAACCCTTTCTTTTCGTCCTTTTTTCAAATTGCAATATCAATTTTTTGTTCCGCCTTGAATTTGTCTTCGTAGCCAATATGACATATGGGGTGTGTTTGGAAAATCTTTTTATTTTTCATGTTTGGTTGGCATAAATATTTCTCTTATAAACTCATTTTATTTAAATTGGAGGAAAATAACTTTCCTCTTATCCCTACTAAGAGGAGTAAAAAATGTTTTCCTAAAATCTTTTTCAACCTTTACCATCCCCACCCCCACCCCTACCCCTTAATCCACACCCTCGCTACCTGGNCCCACCCTCCAACTCCCGCTCCGCCAAATGTCTCTCTCCCAAACAAACCCCCAGCACGACCCACCACCCTCCTCCCTCTCCCATAAGTAAGAAAACCACTTGTTTTCCAAGAATATTTTCAAAAAGTGTATTTCCGTGAAAAATATTTTCCGTCAATATCAAACACACCTATAGTTTCACATAAATCTTTCTTCTCTCAACTCTCGTTTGAGGAGAAATACGCGGGCCTGGATCAAGCTTAAAATGACGAAGCCCAAGAGTTTTGTTTTCCTTCTGTTGAGAATCGGATAGAGTTTCAGCAAACATCCATCCACTATGTAGCTCAAATTAGCCTCTATGAGTCAAAATTAAAAAATTTAAAAAATTAATTTTCTGATTTAATCAATAAATAATAAATAATTATTTGGAAAAATTTCACGATCAACAAACACTGAACACCGTGGCTTATTAGTTATTCTTAATTTAGACAAACGATTAAACGACATTGAATTTAGTGAATCGATACACGTGAGTTGTGAATCTTGCTAACTGTCTTTTCCGTGAGGTGACATTTGCTATTAAGTCAAGACTCTGAGATTTAGGACATGCCATCATTTAACAATTTGAAACGAATTTCAGCTTTTTACAACTTTTCTTTCTTCAAATTCTTTGTATCTGTTTCTTTTGTGTTGGCGTGGAGGAACAAGAAATTGAAGTACATTGATTAATTATTATCTGAGTTATTGCCAAATAAAAGAAAGTATTCTTTTCTTTAATTAAGAATACTCAAGTTTACAATTGCAAAAGATTGATTTTCTTCTCTCTCTTTTTTTACCATAATTCATTTTGCTTCATTGTGACTCGGGAACAAACGTGACAATGTTGATAGTTTTTAAAACTAATGGAAAATCTGGATTGATTTTTAAAGAAAATGAGAATATCAGGCAGGTGGGTGTGGCCCCCATGGAGGACAAGATGCGGGAAGCAAGACTCAGATGGTTCGGGCACATTCAGAGGAGGAACACTGATGCACCGGTGAGAAGGTGTGAACGACTGGCAGTGGTGGGTACGAGGAGAGGTAGGGGGAGACCTAAGAAGTATTGGGGAGAGGTGATCAGGCAGGATATGACGCGACTTAGGGTTACTGAGGACACGGCCCTAAACAGGGAATTGTGGAGATCGAGCATTAAGGTGGTAGGTTAGGGAAATTGTGATGTCTTTGTTACAGCGCACTAGAGTGAGACTAGCCAGTTAGGAAGTAGTCTTAGGATGCTATTGATCAACTACTGATGATGGGCTTTATCTCCTGTGTATTAATACCTTACATCTTTCTCGTATTTCCTATATCTCTTATATTGTTGTTACTTTGTTTTTATGGTATTTATGTTATGTTATGGATTTTATGGTACTTTATGTTGTTTTATTATGAGTCTATTGATAGTACTAATATAGTGTCTCTTGTTGCCTCTTTGAGCCGAGGGTCTCCTGGAAACAGCCTCTCTGCCCCTCGGGGTAGAGGTAAGGTCTGCGTACATATTACCCTCCCCAGACCCCACTTGTGGGATTACACTGGGTTGTTGTTGTTGTTGTTGTTGTTGAGAATATCAAAAACGAACAAATCTACTAAGGTGCAAGCTATCTGTTTAATCGTTGATATTCCGCATCTTTGTAAGAATTTGAAAGTATTTCGATATAGAAAAACTATTGAATCTCTTATATCACTTTCTAACAATGCCATTCATATGGTAATCTGTTTATTAGTGGATAAATCAAGACATGGTAAAAACAATCTAGAAGAGCTTATGGATATATAAGAAAATTTATTTAACCAAGTATGGATATATACAACCACTAGTTTATATTTGACTTTAGAACTAGACCTCCCTATAGCTTTTCCTATCTATTTGACATACAGACTGTATGGGTCAAAATCCGGCTTAGGAAGTTAGGCGTGGGAAGATCGTTAAGTGAGAAGAGTGTGTTTCGATTTGGGCGGCTAGGCCGAGGTCGACCAAAGCCAACGACGAGCAGTCGCTGAGTAAGCCGTTAAAATCGAGGTCGAGTAGCGAAGAGTAGGAACAACGGCTGGTGTAGTCTTGGAACTAGCGACATGAATATTCCCTTGAATATTCTCTTTTTGTTGTATTTTTTAGGATTTTTTAGAGAATATCCCATATAAATAGAAAAATGAGAGAGAGGAAAAGAGGCAGTGAGATTCATTATGAGAAAAACTATTGTAAGAAGTTGACTCTTGAGAGAAAACACAAAAGCTTACCTTTTTACATGATTGATTTTGTCAATTATTCTTCTTTTCTACTTACACAATCCAAGAAAGCATTGTTCATTTTCTTACTTATTGCCACACTTTGTTGCCAGGAGGAAAAATCTTTCACATCATTCAATATTTGGGTGAATCGTTCTTCTTATTTACGTTTACTGCCATTTTTCATATTTATTGTTCATCATTCATTCTTCATTTATTCTCAAAAGCGTGCATTTAATAATATGATAACCGACTTTGCGCGTTAAGTAGACGATACCATTTAAACACTTAGCTAGATCTAAGAATTATTATGCTTGACTAGGATTCATCTTTCACCTTATTAATCCTTTGATTAGTTTAACAAAGAGTGCTATATTTTTTGATCAAACAAATTGGCGTCGTATGTGGGGAGTTTCAAGTCAAAATTTTATCTTTCTAGATCTAGAAAAACACACCAATAGCAAAATACAGAACCTTCTCTCTCTACTTGCATAATCTAACATGGCGGGAAATGGAGAAGAAAGATTAAAAGCAATGGTAGGCCTTATTATTAATCTCCTAAACACCATCAATGAAACTCACGGAGAGGACGAGGAGAACATGACACCAAGTGCCTCACCTAGGCGAAGTGATTCACCCCCTCCCCTCATGGCAGCGTTACCGCTTCTCATGGAAAGGGAGCCTCTACGTCCACGATGGAAGAAGCACCACCAGTAGTGAAAAAACTACTAGAAGCATGGCTAACGAATACACTAAACAGTATACTCGACAAACCCGCTCAGAGGGTAAGCATAGAGGGTGCGCGAGTCGACATCGCAGCAACGACCAATGAGCAACACGCCTCGCCTCCCTCGACAGGTATCATTTACTCTGTTAATGATGCAGGTAATGACACCCTCGTTACTATCCTAAGAAAAATGGAAGATATGGAGAACGAGACAAAGCACTCCGCGACCAAATGAGAGAGCATCAAGAAAGGGTAGATAAGATACTGGGCACCCCAAAACTCCTACCAAAGCGGGACACCAGCCGGTTTATGGAACAACCATATAGCGACGAGGCCGCACCACATGCTATACCCAAAACATTCAAGATGACAACATACCTGAAGATATACGATGGTAATACGGACCTTAAGGATCACATCATCCACTACGTCACCGCAGTGAAAGGCAACAACCTCGCTAAATAGCAGGTGCCATCTATATTGCTGAATTTTTTTGGAGAAACCTTAACCAGGGGATCATTAACATGGTACTCGCAACTTCCCGCACAATCCACACAAACATTTGAAGAAATGGACGACAAGTTTGTCACCGCCCATGCAGGGGCCAAAAAAGCGAAAACCAGGGTGAATGATATATTCGCCATCAGACAGTCACCTGGCAAAGGGCTCAGGGACTTTCTTGCCCGGTTCAATAAAATGAGAATGACCCTTCCAAATGTATCGGAGGGGATAGCAGTAGTAGCTTTCCAAAATGAGCTGAACAAGAGTGGGTCGAG